CTGCGCCTGCTCGGGGGTAAAGCTCCCTGCCTCCCCTTCAGAAGGGCAAAGTGATGCGTTCCCATCAACCGTGAGGAGCCATATGACTGAAGGGAAACAGAATGGTGAAATAAACCCGCTTCATGGCATGGAACAGCTCCTCTTCCTCGCCTTCTTACACCCGACTGCAGACAGAATGATGCAATGGGATGAAGGCAATACATCGGCCCAAAGCTGTGTGAGTAAAAACCAAAGCTGAAAATAAAGGCCTGATCAGAAAACAGGACTGCAACGTGGAAGGAGACCCTCTAAGGAAGGAGACCAGGCCCGGTTCTATGGGGGTGCATAAGGGTGCATTGTACCCTAAGTTGAGTCGTTATGCACCCTCATTTGAAAAATGAAAACTGAAAAAAATGAAAAGTGAAAAATATTGCAATAATAATAATATAGTATAATTGTGGTTAAATAACATTGTCTGCTGCATTTATTTGGTCAATTTAAACGGTAAGTAACGTTATTATGTCAGGTGTGCGTGACCTGTGCCGCTGCACGTTCATCATCTGCAAGGTGCTTACACAGCAGTCAGTGATGGACATCAGAAAATGGTTAAAACAACCAGCCCTTATCGCCAGCAGTAACACTGCATCTACTGCAGGTAATAACAGTTCAGATCATGGGGACATTACGTTACCCGCGGCCACTGTCGTGGACACTGACGCCCGCTTTGCCCGCCTCGCCGGCTTTGCCCGCCTCGCCCACAGAGGCGGAGCAGCCGCAGCCGTCTTCGTTGCCCCAAACACCACCACCCCTCGGCGGCCCGCAAGTGCCAGAGGAACTGGTCCTCTGCGTGGGGTAAGGCGCTCATTTTGCAGCTCATGGTTTCAAAACAGAGATTGGCTGGAATATTCATGTAAAAAAGATGCCATCTTCTACAACAACTGGCGCCATGCTCTTGTACGTGATAAGGGACTGGGAAGGAATGAATCAAGCAAAGAGCACATAGATCCATAGATCTCTTAACTTTGCTCTCAAAGTGCACCAGATTAATGCTTTTAACTTCAATATTTAAAAAAAAAAATTCCACGTGCTCAAACTAGTGGAAGGTCTACGAAAAAGTATCTGAGACACACCCGGTGGAGCCTCTGATCGAAGAGTTTGACGTAAGTAGAGGAAGCCCGCATTCCGAACCCCTTCTTGTATGCACGTCTATGCACAGACAAAACGTACGACCGAAGTAGCGGATTATGAAAGACAACAAATATGCTAACCATAAGAGTTTCAAGAGAACACAACGTCACTAAGTGTAAGATTTACATAACTTCAAGTTATGTCAGTAACCCTACCGACCTAACGAGTAAAGATAGTCCCTATAGATCGACTCACTTAGCTGTTTGCACGAAGTCAATCGGTTTTCGTTAAGACGTTTTCGTCGATCCGATTTTTGTTTTCGGAGGACCTTCGAGTAAAACCGGAACCAGTACAGAAGTCTTTGACTGGTAGGTATCTTTGCAAAACCAAGAGCTGTTCTCGAAATACTAAAATGTACACACAGTCCGTCTAAACTCCTAAAAACTTGACTTAACGTTAGTTGTGGACTCATTTTTCGATTGCAAACCGGATGTTTGTTTGGGGGTAGGGTCAAACGTACCGGACGCGGTAGTGGTGGTGATCGAATTCCGTCTCAGTACAGCCGCATTACTGCAAATCAATAGTAGTAGTCAATGAACAATCGTTTTGCCGGGAAAATTCTGAGTCGTTTCGAAGTCTGTAAAATGGCTCACCCACAAATGACTGTTTCTTCTTATCGTTTCTCGTGTATTCAAGGTGGCTACATATTACGTAGATTCGTGTTTGCGTGATTTTGGTTCTTCAACTGAAGGTCTGTTCTCTTGGTTTTCACCATTTTAGTAACCCAAAACTCCTGTTTAAGAGACGAGGGTGTTTTATTCTACAAAGTTATCGTCGAGAGAACTAACCGGTTTGTTTTGATATGAGGAAAGAAGGACAACCAAACAGTACCAGGAAGATTAAAATGAGCTGAGTCTAATTTCACACAAAAGTCAAGGGGACGTCACAGTAGGATGTCCACCCGAAAAAGTGTGAGAGGAACGTCTGACGTTTGGTCGTAAGGGACCGTGCTGTGGCTGTGTTAAGAGGGGAACGACACAGTCGGAACGGAGCGGTGGAGAGTCACAACAGTGGACTACGAAGAGGGGAGGAGGAGGTAATGGAGGAGAGTCGTCGTCAAAGAGGTGACAACAAGACGGTTGAAAGTATACTAAGTACATCTCAAGTGTAGGTTTAGGTTGAGAGTCTCTAACGGAAAAAAATAAACCGGCACCACCTTATACACGTGTTTCAGAGCGATGACCACACACGTACGCTGGACAGCTGAGGACCTCTATAGTGTCGTATCGCTCACGACGGAAGGTGGTAAAACGTTTTAGTTTTACTCGTAACATCTCCCGTAGCGTCAGTGCAGGCGTTCGGGAGAACATGTGAGACGCAGAGTAGACGATGTGGAAGAGTATGTGAGCCGTGACCTTGTCAATACTGAGTTGGTACAACACAATAACTGTAGAGGACCTGCCGAACTCTTTTCCCCTCCGGCAATCCGCGAGTCATAGGTGTCTACCCTCTAACACACACTCTGGAAAGAAAACTCACCGGTAAGAATTGTGCACTCCAGTAACAACGCGTCAGAGAACCTTGGACGTCTCACGTCACGACGTGTTAACACACCCTCAGTGCGAAGACTACAACTGACATCACACTACGTCGATTCTGCCACTACAGCTATCTACTACCACAGCCATCACACCTCATACACACACACTCCGCGAACCAGTCACTGACTCACTATTACCACTACAGCGACAAACTCACACGCAGATCGTACAAAACCATGTACACAACACTCAATCACACTACTCACATCGGTGACACCATCACACACTCATCAACACACACACACACACACACACACAACCACACACAACACAGACCACACACGACGCCACACACAACACACAATAGGACGCGAGCAGAAAATGTACAGAAAACTGCGACGACTTACTCATGATAGTCTGAGCGGTGTACTAACATACACACGGACCCACTAACAAACGGTTGATCGATAGGACTGGCTGTTGTGTACGCTAGCAAGCATTACTATATGAACACTACATAGAACAACTGGTAGGACGAGAAAGGAGTAAAGGATCGAAAGTGGTATGTGTAGTGTTGGTGTTGGTGACTCCAAAAGTAGAAATCCTAATAGTCATGTAAGTTTGAGGTGCAGATGGAAAAGTGTGAATGATAGCCTAATGTAAGTACCGTTATCGACACAAAATAACAAACGTAAGGTCCGAATCACATGAGATATATATCAACAAAAGTGCGTATTACCCCTCCGGCGTCGTAAGTTTGACGTATGTGTATGAGTGTTCCCTAAGTGTCTTTTGTTACGTACCGTACCGTGATCTGCACTATTACTTTCCTGTTTTGACCACCGTGCTAATAAACCTTGTGTAAAAAGTAGTGTATGTAAGTCACAATGTAAAACTTTCGTTATAATATAAAAACAAAGAATAGTGTACAGCCGGAAAAGCAAAACAAAATTCATCTCAGACACGCTAAAGTGTAAATAGAGTCATTTCTATAAAATACGAAATTACAGTTTTTCGAGAAGTAACAGAGTATGACGGACACCACGTCGTGGAGAAAAGTGGGAGACAGACCTTTGGTCTCGGTTCAGACGAGACTAACCAATCGACCCAGCCGAGACAACACTTAAATCAGTTGACGAATGTCTATAGGACGGGGAATAGATGGTGCATGTAACACAAATCTCGTAATCGGTTATCTTCGCAGTCACACATGTATCACTACAGTGGTACAAGGACTTCATTTATTTCTTCAGGTTACCATCCGCAAAAGTCCGTCCACATACACCCTCTCTTTCAGAAATTCTAACAACCGGATGGTACGTGTTTCTTGCATTGCATTGCCTCTTTCCTTTTCGGACTTTTTCGGATTAAAATGGAAAAATTTAGTCTAAATAGACGCTTCTACTCCTGAACACTCTCTCTACAGAGTTTTATTTCTGGCCAGCTTTAACCCACCTTAGGTTCCGAATCTTTAGGAATGAAAGTCCAACGAGAGTCAACGGTAGACTTACTGTAGGTAGAGGGTACGGGGTTCAATATCGCGATGAGTTTCAGAGTTCGGATTAATTATTAAATTTTGAAATATATGTGTTCAGTCAGTAACAAATGGGTGAGACACATTGAATATTGCACTACTGACACATAACTAAACAGCCGATATTATTAGCGTCAAGCCGCGGCGTCGACAAATGAATGGACTTTACGGATTAAACCTTCGTTGTAGAGTCAAAATGAACGAAAAACAGACGAAACAAGCCGTATTAATGACATTTGTCTCTTATTTGTGTCGTAATGGCGTCGACTTAGGTTGTTTCCATATTAGGTGTCACACGAAAAATAAATATGACCTTTTGTTACATCCAGGATTAGTCCCCTACGAAATAGCAGACGTCCGGACAGTTTTAGAGCGATGCCGTAGTAAAACCCAGAAATTAACACACCAAAGTCGTTGTAATTGTGTTGTCGTTAGTGTAGGGGAAAAGGAGGAAGGAATCTCCCAGAGGAAGGAAATCTTCCAGAGGAAGAAAGTCTCCCAGAGGAAGTCCCGGGCCAAGGTCCTGTTTTACTATTGAGTCCCAAGTAGACTCTAAATCTCTCCGCACGTCGCCATTTCACGATAAAAATCTTCACCCCTCACCTGGATTGTGGGAGATCCCCCAGGAGTGGAGAGAGATCCTCCCAGGAGTGGAGGAGATCCCACCAGGCCCCCGTTACGAGGGGGGCCTTNCGTTTTTAGGGATTTGGGTATGGAGGAAAAGAGAGAGGGTTGTGTTTTCTGACACATGGTGAGTTCCCTGACACACCGTATAGATTTGGATAGTTTTTTTTGCAACATAGGAAAAAAAATCCACATTTTCTTACAATCTTTTATTAAACGATCCCATCATTCACAGTAGTTGGACTCTTGAACATTCATGCTTTATTATACAATCATTACTAAGGCCACAATTAATATACATTACATCCAAGGATATGTTTAAAGGCAGAAATGGAAAGTGCAAAAGTATCTTCTGCCTGAGCATTAGGGAACACAGTCGAAGTGCTGATACTTAACATTACTTAAAATACCAAATGTGTTTAAGAATTAAAACATTTAGATTAATGTGCAAGAGTAGAAAAAGAGTTTGCTCACGTTAAAGCTATGATTCATGACAAAAAAGTTGAACATGTCATTAGTTTACCCAAGTGAGGATGAGTGGAAATGTAAACTCAAGTACAAGAAAACGATGTCAACTGAAGGGTCCTGTCTTTAATAAGATGAGCAAAACAACATTAACGGAGGGCAACAGGTCGAGAGGTAAACATGGCTCTGTCACCGGAGAAGATGTGATGGCAGAAAAGTGATATGATTTATTTAAGTGTGGGATCTGGTCCACAAACAAGCTACTTGTTGATCCTTGTGACTTGTGTTATGGACAATCCTTCCACCATAAAAGCAAAAATGGAGAGAGTTAGTCATAGTAAATAAAATTGACTTATACGACATTCACAGTTTAAAACAGGTTTTCTGGATTCAAATCATTGGAATTGAATAAATAATAATCTAATTTAAGATTGGACATTTCTTGATCAGAAACTTGTTGAGGTCTGAAGTTAAAGGTCAGGGGTCATCACTGGCCCTTCTTGGGCGCGTCAGGGATGCTGTCGTTCAGAGGGGTGAGGCCTGTGAGGACGGCGTGCCGCTCATACTGCTTGGTCTGCCTGAACTTGGTGTCGGTGCCGTGGAGCCGGTCCAGAATGCCGAAGACCCCGAAACACTGGTTGAACCTGGAACCAGGGAGGAAATAGATCAACTGAGGATGACTTTTTTTTTTTGTGGTTCCAGCCACCTTTTTTTTTTTTTTTTTTTTTTTTTTTTTTTTTAAAATAGGAAAATGTAAAATTCTATATTTTTCTTGCTGTAAACAAATCTGGGTGGCATGTTCCTTTAAATCAGGGGTGTCCAAACTACGGCCCGGGGACAACTGCGGCCCATTTTCAATTGGCCCTGAGCTAATTCTAAAAGTATATTGGAATATGGCCCACACCTGAAACTTGTGCTTTTCTTGTATTCTACTTCTTAAATATATATATGTAACAATATATGACACAGTATTCCTGTGTTAATAAGCCCACTTTTCAAATAAATTCAGTCAATTAAAGTTGAGAACATTTTCTAACAAATCCTAATTAATACAAATAAAAAAGCCCGATAACTTATATTAAATAAATGAAACCCTATGAACTATCTGTTTTCTTTTCTTAAAGCATATTCAAGTATCAAGCATATGTTTACCTACATTTGATTGACTTTGCCATCTTATAACTTAAAGGTGGGGTAGGTAATTTTGGAGAAACCAGCTCGAGTGCGCTAGATTTGAAAATACACAGCCGGAAGAAATCTGCTACTTCCTTACAGAGCCCCTCCTCCAACACACACATGACCAATGAGGGCACGAGATAAGTTTGTACACAGATGGAAGGCTGACAGGCAGGTAGGCCATCTAGTCATTTTAGCCGGGCCGGCTTTTTACAGTACTACAGCTTCCACAGATTACATTTGATGGATTTGTTGTCAAAGCACTTAACATCCCGATAGCAATGAATATCTTAAGAGCATTCCATGGAATATAACAAAAAGTGTATCTCGAGCCGGTTTCTCAAACTGACCTACCCCACCTTTAATTTATGAGGCACTATATCTCACCTCTAGCGAGGGGCCCAGCCTTTTGTATATTTTTATGTATGAGGCCCTAAGTGAAACAAGTTTGGACACCCCTGCTTTAAATCCATGATCTCACACACACTGAAGATCATTTTGACTCAATCGTGCCGACGGTTGTTTAGTATTTTATATGGATTTTCGCAAGTTCAAATAAAGCTACTGGGCTCACCTGAGGTGGTGGAAGTCATGGAACTCGGGGGAGGGCAGGAAGGGGAGGTGGTATCCACAGTGGGAGATGGTGGTGCTGATCAGAGCCACGCTGTACCACATGGCGGTGGTGGTCACATGGGAGCCCAGGAGAACCGGCCCGAGAGCCACCGGCAACATGTTAGAGATCTGACAGAATAGGAGGGACAAACTGCTTTTAATGGCCGAGGGATAACCAGCAAATATAGTGAAAACTTCTGAGAGAGGTCGAAAATGAACTGAAAGCGTGGAGGGAGGTATTCACCATGTGCTCCAGAGGGTGGGCGTAGATGCAGACGACTCCAATGGGGGCGGTCCACTCATGGTGCTGTTTGTGGAATCTCTTATAGAGGCTGGGATGGTGGAAAAGCCTGAGAGAAAGAAGATGAGGATAACTATGTGGTTATTTACTGAGACACTTAACTTAACAGAACGTAATGTTTACAGGAATACTGCTGCAGTGGTGAAAGAAGGACTCAGATCCTTTGGTTGGATAAAAGTAATAATAACAACACACAAAAAGTCCTTTAGTCAAAAGTAAAAGTACAGAAGTATTTGCAAAATATAATTATTAATTTATAAATGAAAAACAATATATGGCGAAAAGACTTCATAGTATAGTTTCTTGAGCAAATGTCAAAACAATCATACTATTGTATGTTGAAAAAGTCAAAAATATGTTGAAATAAAAGTAGCAATAACACAATGAAAAACTACTACACATACCAAGATATAATATTAATGTTGGAAATATGTCAGAAAAAGTAATACTATAGTATGACAAAAAAACATCATACTAGAATGTTAAAAAAATGTTTGTTATACTATAGTACATCAATAAAATACATACTATAGTAGCAATAACACAATACAAAACTACTAAACATACAGGTCATGCAATAGTGTGTGGAAAATGTCTCATTTTAGTATATTGAAAATATGTCAAAACAATTATAATCTAGTATATTGAAAAAATTCATAATGGGAAAATATGTAAAAATAATGAAACTCTAATATGTAGCAACAAAAAAATAGTAGGCTACTACATTATGTGAAAAAACGAAATGTCTTCTTTCTGTTCACATTTACCACTAGGTGGCAGTGATGTGTAAAGAGATCAGTTTTTCAATGGTGAAACAGATAATCCACCAAAAGGGCTTTTTTCAAAAAAGGACGCATTATGTCTGCCCAATCATAAAAGCAAATGGTGTAATAAATAATTAAGTGATCCAAACCTTGTGGGAATAGAAGAACATAAAATTCCTCCAGGAGGGAGAGAAGGCCAGCTCTGCTTAGGGCCCAGTGGAAGCGGGCAGCTCGGGCCACAGGTGGTTTCCACTCATCGGATCATCAGGGATCGAGCCACCACCACCATGGACCCCGAGGATGAACACATAGTCTGAAGAGAGGACCGGTTTCAAACATTGGCGAAGCCGCTATCTGGAGTCCACCTGGAAGACCAGGACGGACATCACAGGGTTAAACGGTAAGTTATAAATGTAGTGTTGGTTAATGACCCAAATATATTGCAGGTTTTCATGACATTACGTACCATTACCTGACATTGAAATGCCTGGTATATTTGGTCATGTATTCTCTTTTGGCACCATTTTTAAGGACATCTCCAGGCTTAGTTACATGAGGTGTTGCTGATTGTTGTTTTCGCGCCATGTGAAGTTCTGCTCATAAGGGTTAAACAAAATGTTTGATAAACAAAGACATGCGAGTTTAGAGGTGCGGCAGTTGATATGGTGATTTAAGTTATCAGCTGACTAATCAAAGACAGAGAGATATCTCCGTTTGTGTGTAACAGTCATCCTTTTCCCAATAAACTTTGGGACGGCGGCGCATGTGGTTATAAACATATGGACTATCACGATGGCGCCTTTATGTGGTGTCTGCAGTGTTCCACATGTCGCTCGCTCTCTGCAGTTGCAGTATAATTCTGTGGTATATGTGTATTCAAAGTACAAACATAACAAACCCCGCCTACATTATAAGGACAGACAGTTTCTACAGTGAGATTCATTTAGTGTTGGTTGGTTTATTAAAGTTTCCATTGGAAGATTGACCAGGGGGCTTCAATTTAAGCTATATGGGGATAGAGTTGCTTGATAAAAGATAAATTGATGCTACAAAAGCAGCACAGGGGCTTTAGGTTATTAGCGCTCAAGTTAGGAGGTCTACAATCAGTCACGTCTCTCTCTGACTGGCGGGTAGTAACGGGGCGCCTTGGAAAACTCACAGGCACAAAAAAGGGACTTTGCGCAGGCTTCATCAGCAAAGTTTCTGACACAGTGAGTCTACGACGGCCCGGATTATGTTGACTCCTGATAAGTGCCCGGCACACCGCATATTATGCATATTCCAAATTGGGGAGTAACACAGCTTAATCTTTTGGAAGTATATCATTAAAGCGAAGATGGATGAATGATGGATTTCGGGGCCAACATCAACGTCTGTTAAGCAAACATCTGGGAGGACTTTGGTCAAATGGCCAGGTGGTGAACACGTCTCGGATCGAGAGTACTCAGGGATGTTCGTAAACATGGCAGCGCAATTAGATACTCATATTACAGGAGTCGCAAAAGGAGCACAGGAAATAATAACTTTGCAAAAGTTGGAAAATGTATAAATTAAATTAGATAAAATTCAATATAAAAATATAAATAATAGGAACAATATCATCTGTATAAATGAATCGAGTAAATACAGAATATTGATCTTATAATAATTAAAGTACATTTTTTTTCGATTATTGAATTCATTTTTTTGTGAGAGTTGTGTGGTTTCAAATGTGAGCCAGCGAGAAGATAATATAATAATTAGTTATGCCAGTTTATATCATTTACTCGCCTTGTTACTTTTGCATGGTATTGTGATGCGGAACAAGTGATTAAGGAAATCTCTATGATTTGTGTGTACATAGGAGACATGGTTTAAGTAGGTGAATTTATCCGATACAATAAATGCTTGGTTTAACCTGGCGTTTTAGGGGAATAAAGATAAGACAGAATGAGATAGATTGTTGTATTTTTATTATTTCTCGTTAAACATAACGAAATGCCATAAAATAATTCTGTCTTGCTGATTCAAGAGGTTAAAAAGGGTTAAGAACTACCATCTAAATTTAGAGGCTCGTTCATGCAGAGTATCAGTTTTGGTAGGGAAGAGGCGGTCGTGGTGGGGTGCCTGAGAAGTGAGTGGAAAGTTCTGTATTCAGTGATTAATCAGAATGCTAGTGTCAATATATATGTTGGTGGTGGGCTGGGTGTGGTGTCTGGTTTAGTATTTTTTAAAGTGTTTAATAAAGGTGATCGGGAAACTGGTAGAGAGGAGGACGAGGCATCAGTGCAGAACATACCGGGTTATTCTTGTCCGGGCGTGGATTCGCTAGCGGTGTGATGAAGAGGGGTTCCCGGTTGGGTGTCCACCAGCAGCAACAGGGACCAGTTCGTCCCCAAAACGCCCAGGAGTGGACGCGAAGCATCGAGCGTGGAGAAACTGACCGTCATGGAGAGGACAACTTAACCTGTCCGTTTGACCTGGACCTCAGATATTTAAAACATCGAATAAAGGATGAAAAACGTATTTTTTTTAAAGAATTCACAGAGCAATTGTTCATGATCGATATTTCTGCATGTTGTAACCAGTCTGGCCTTGTTATTTCTGGGAGCGCACTAGAAATGGATTTTGCGCTTGCCACAATCTAAGATAATAAACATAATCAGCAGGAAATAAACTGGTTGTTTTTTTGTTACTTTGCGTTTAGTTCGTTTGATATTACCTCTAAGACCGATACATGAATTACTTTTGGGAGAAAGCACTCTTACAGTGTGTCGGACTGGGAAGCAATATTTGGCCTATCTGTTTAATGCATCCGTGACTGTCAGCATGCGTAATCCTACATTAGATTGTGGTGTCCAAACAGTAGAGCAGTTGATCACAACACCAACAACAAACATGATGGCTACAATCATAAAAGAGAGTAACTTGGGACACCAAGGTCATTCTTTGATATGCAGCAAGGCTTAACAAGATGTTCGGTCAAGCTAGAACAGAATGTTTGTTTTTTCCTCTGGGGTTGGTACTCTTTTGTGCAGGATCACAATTCCCCAGCTTTTGAGTTAGAATCATTTGTAAATCACATTTAAAACTAGGGTGGTGGGTCGTGTGTGGGTTTTTGGGTGGGTTGTGGGGTGGGTATTTTTTTTTATATTATGAAGTACTGTGAAAAACCTAAAGAATACAAGCATGTTTTGATCCAAATGCTATATTGTGTCGTCGGTTATTTGTTTATTCTGTGTATTGGGTTAAGATCTATAGTGTGTTCCATTTTGATTCTTATTGTGATAGTTTCTCTTTGGTATTATGTTAACTGTCCGGTAACAGGTGTGTTGGCTGCAAAGTGCACTTTCTAGCAGAACGATGTGTTTGGAAAAGGAAAAGAAAATCAATTGTGTTGTTAGTTCTTACCCAAGTTTAGAACAATAGTCAGTCTCATGACCCTCAAAGCCCCACGTAGCAGCCGTTTGGTTGCGCGGCATTTTTGTCTTGCCAAAAATCTCCGGAAAGCTCGCTCCAGAATCTCTGAAGATGCGCTGGGAAAGGAAATCTTGTCGAATGATCACTTTAACAATGAAATCATGAGGGAGCA